TACCATTTTTTTTTTTATATCCCCTGTGCGGGTGTGTCCCAAACCTTGGCCAATTTAAAGGGGGGTGCACTACACCCCAAAAATTTGGGGGTGAAGAGTTCCACCCGTCTTAAAGTTGCCAAGGTTGAGGAACCCTAGCGTACAGGATGTATACATGAACAAGTGTAATCATAAGGTCACTTGCTCCCTCCCATCTCGGTCAGTGTGGAAGAGGGAAGGGTCTTTGGGTGGTTTTTGTTTCCTTTCAGTTTGATTTTAATTACCTTTCGGGTTTTAGAAATTGCCTGAATCAATTTTGTGGACAAATGTGAAAAATTATGTTTGCCGGAATTCCCGTTTTTGTACATCCATGTTAATAGCCCTGGAATCAGTCTTGGAAACAGCAGAGCAGTGATTAAACCTTACTTATAAAAATATTGCTTGTCAATTATTTAATTGATTTTAATTATGTGCCATCAACTTCAGGTCTTCCAATGGTACCTCCATCTCCATTGTAATTGAGTTGATCTACCTTGCTGCTGGTCATCCTTTTCTTCTGTTTCCTTCCACAGTTACTGTACTTAAATCTCTCTTTTTTTGCTTGTTGATCATTGGCGAGTCCAGAAAGATAACAGGCTATGTAATATTGAAACCTTGATTCAAGAGCCTTGTGCTGAATCTGGAAGTGAATTACTGTGCTTGTTATCAAGTTCAACTTTGTTTGAAATGGGATACTCAGGCTTATTATTATTCCCTATGTTAGATTTGATCCTTCACATGGCAGGGTAGCCATAGGATTGCTCAACTGCAATTTGATGCACGGTGGAGTGACTGCCAGATGAAATGAGTAACGTGTGATTTATTGTTTTATTGACTGATTGATTAATCATATGTATATAGACGCCCATCTCACAAAAGAATGACTTTGGGCGGTGTACAATACTCAGTTAAAAACCCATAAATACAGTGGAACCTCGGGTTACGAATGGTTCTGTTCACAAACTTTTCGGGTTACGACCAGCTCTGGCCGCAGAAATTTGCTTCGGTTTGCAAACTCCGCCTTGGGTTACGAACAGGATATGCGGCCATTTTCCCTGCTGACACGCAGTTGCGGCTTCCTGTGGGTGAGATCGCGGTAGCAAGGAGATGTTCGGTGAGGCTTGTGGTATGTTTCTTAGCGTTCTGTGAAGGTTTTTGGTGTACTTGTTAGCATGGCTCCAAAGAAAGCCAGAGCAGGCTTGGGGGAAAATTTGCTTCGGGTCGCGACCAGAGTCACGGAACGAATTAAGTTCGTAAACCGAGGTTCCACTGTACATAAAAAGTCATCATTAAAACTATAAAAGGTATAAAAAACACACAATGGAGGAGAGGATAATATTAACCATAGTAAAGGAGCCACTGCAAAATCTCCCCAGTCCCCTGATCACCTAACAAAGTCTTGAGGGACTTGTGGAATGTTAAGAGGAATGAGACTAACCTCACTTCCAGGAGGAGAAAATTCCACAAGGCGGGTGCCACGGCAGAGAAGGCCCACCTCCTAGGGCCCACAGAATGGAATTCCCTGGCAGGCAGGACTCGCAGCATGCCTTCTCTGCCAGACCTGATGGGACAGCCAGCTGTAATTGGGGAGAGGCAGTCCCTCAAATAACCTGGCCCCATGCCATGAATGACTTTAAAGGTCAAAACCAGCACTTTGAATTGGATCCGGAAACAAACTGGCAACCAAAGCAGCTCGCAGACCAGAGGTGTAATGTTTGCCCTTCTAGGGGCACACATAACTACCCACACCAGTGCATTTTCCACCAGCTGAAGCTTCCTGATACTCTTCAAGGGCAGTCTCATGTAGGGTACATTACAGAAGTCCAAACAGGAGGTGACTAGGGCATGAGTGACCATGAGCAGAGCCTCCCTGATCCAGGAACGGCCACGACTGGTGCACAACCCAAAGCTGTGCAAAGGCCCTTCTAGCTAGAACTGCCATCTGCTCTTTGAGCAGGAGTCATGAGTCCAGGAGGACCCCCAGATTGCACACCGGGTCTGTCTGGAGCAGTGCCACCATATCCAGCACCAAAGATGGCATAATCCTAGAACCGGAAGGCCCCAAAACCCACAGCTACTCAGTCTTGCCAGGGCTCAGCTGAAGCCTGTTGTTCCCTATCCAGGCCCTCACAGCATCCAGGACTGGGATAAGACATTCACGGCATCACTTAATTCACCAAGAGCAGAGATGTATAATTGGGTATCATCAGCATACTGATGATACCTCACCCCATGGTGATGGATGAGCTCACCCATGCAGTAGGGGCACCCCACACAGGAGGGGCCGAGGGAGGGATCTCTTCTCCCTAACCACCACCAACTGGAATTGGCCCTGAAGAAAGGAGGTGAACCAACACAATACCATGCCACCCACCCCCAATCCTCTGAGTCAATCCAGAAGAATACCATGGTCAATGGTATTGAAAACCCCAGAGAGGTCAAGTAGGGCAACCCTCATCCTGCCCTCACCAGAGATCATCCAGTAGCGCAACCAGTGTTGTTTCAGTCCTATACCCAGGCCTGAATCCTGACTGAAAGGGGATTATACAAGCAAACACTCTCAGGGAAAGGCTTCTAACAGTCCATGGATAATTTCTACATTCATTGGAAATACAGTGGGGCAAAAAAGTATTTAGTCAGCCACCAATTGTGCAAGTTCTCCCACTTAAAAAGATGAGAGAGGCCTGTAATTTTCATCATAGGTATACCTCAACTATGAGAGACAAAATGGGGGGGAAAATCCAGAAAATCACATTGTCTGATTTTTAAAGAATTTATTTGCAAATCATGGTGGAAAATAAGTATTTGGTCACCTACAAAGATATATAACAAAGTATTGAGATGAACTTTTGATATTGACCAAATACTTATTTTCCACCATGATTTGCAAATAAATTCTTTAAAAATCAGACAATGTGATTTTCTGGATTTTCTTGATATATAACAAAGTATTGAGATGAACTTTTGATATTGACCAAATACTTATTTTCCACCATGATTTGCAAATAAATTCTTTAAAAATCAGACAATGTGATTTTCTGGATTTTCTTGATATATAACAAAGTATTGAGATGAACTTTTGATATTGACCAAATACTTATTTTCCACCATGATTTGCAAATAAATTCTTTAAAAATCAGACAATGTGATTTTCTGGATTTTCTTGATATATAACAAAGTATTGAGATGAACTTTTGATATTGACCAAATACTTATTTTCCACCATGATTTGCAAATAAATTCTTTAAAAATCAGACAATGTGATTTTCTGGATTTTCTTGATATATAACAAAGTATTGAGATGAACTTTTGATATTGACCAAATACTTATTTTCCACCATGATTTGCAAATAAATTCTTTAAAAATCAGACAATGTGATTTTCTGGATTTTCCCCCCCATTTTGTCTCTCATAGTTGAGGTATACCTATGATGAAAATTACAGGCCTCTCTCATCTTTTTAAGTGGGAGAACTTGCACAATTGGTGGCTGACTAAATACTTTTTTGCCCCACTGTAAAGACTGTTCCTGATGTAGGTTTAGTCGTCATTAAGCCATTTCACACCTTAATCAGTGTAATTCAATCCAGACAAGAGCTTTATTGTGTAGTTGTCCACATTATTCACAGAATTTTAAGAGGAGTTCATACAAAGGTGTCCTCAATTTCTAACTTCCCTGTCTTTCCTCACTGCTCATTCCACCACTGTTCTTCTCAAAGAAAATCTATCAAAGAAAAAGTGCCTTTTTATTGGTAGTAATATGATTCCTCTAATCTGGAAATAATTTTGCACAGATCAAAGGTGGTCCAAGAAAACCAAGGTCCCATTTATTTATTCTAGCTTGCAGGTCCGTTACGGACGGGAGTGGAGTAACTACGTCGGTGGCACTTCAGGAGATCTGGAGGAAATCTTCCTGTTCCCAGGGGAGTCCATCATCCAAGCATCTGGGAAATACGACAGTTATCTCCGCAAACTCGTCTTCGTCACTGACCAGGGGCGTGTCTTTCCTTTCGGCAAAGATAAAGGCACTAGTTTCAATGGGGCGCCCCTCTTCCCAAACACCGTCCTGCGTTATGTCAGTGGCCGCTCCAGTTCTGCCATTAACGCCATTGGCTTCCATTGGGATAAGTACCCTGGCAGTTGCAAAAGTTGTGGCAAGTGAGGGGACAGAAGAACAAGAGAGGACTTGACCAACAGGATGGAGAGAGAACAGCATAGCAGAAAGGCAACCATCTTTTCCTTGCCCGCTGTCAATGAGGTTAGGGCAGTGTTGTCCAAACTTGGCCACTTTAAGATGAGTGGACTTCAACTCCCAGAATGCTGGGAGAATGGCTGGCTGGGGAATTCTGGGAGTTGAAGTCCACTCATCTTAAAGTGCCCAAGTTTGGACAACACTGGGTTAGGGTAATAAATTTGTTCAGCCCCCTCAACATCCAAGGATACTCTTTCACCAGCCTGCCCGGTCCTGTTCCCAGCTGTCTGTCTCTCTACAGATGCATATTATACCTCCAGACCAGAGCAACATTGTTCTTCCAACATGTTTCCCACCCCTCTTTTATCATGAAAGGGAAGGGAAAGAAAAGCAACTACCATCTGCTTCAACTTTGCCCCATCGCTTTGGAGCTATTCTTCCCTCAAAGGACCAGCCGGCAATCAGTGTTGACCAATAAAAGGCAAACTGGAAACAAAGCACAGTGTTTTTATTTACCAATTGTCCATCCTTGAAGACAGTACCATCACTCTGCTGAAATAGTGTAGGAATTTCTTATAATCTATTTTTCAATATTTTAGGGACACTGACCTGCATAGCATACTGAGCTCACACAATAGGAGAAATGGGGCAATGGTTAAATGCAACAGCCATGAGCTCCTAATCTTAGCTCAACCATGGCTTTCCTGTTTGATCTTAGGTAAACTGCTACGTGGCTCCCTTAGACTTCCTGATATAAATATAAGGATTAGAATAATGCTGGTCTTCTAAGGCTACTGGGAAGATGAATGAGTTTGTGCATTGTACCCAAGCCAGAGTTTATTTTAACCATAATTTGTTGAGTAAGCAACAATGGTTGTGCGGACATACTGTGCTAAGCCAAAACCAAGGATGTGATGCATTAGTGTGATGTATGAACCCAGCCACACACTAGGAAAAACGCAATGATGCCACATGGGATGGAGGGTTGGGGGGGGGCTCAAAAAAGTCAAGATAGTGTCCATGACTTCTGGTTGAAGCCCTGCTCTTTTTTACATGCATCACGTGCATGGCACATGTGAAAAGGATGGGGTTTGCGCTGTCTCAGCAGCCGAGCATTAGTCTCAGTCACAAGGCAAGCAAGTGGTGCTGTCCCTGTTGTGATGTGGGGCAAGTTAAGGATAGCAAGTAGTGGATTCCCCAGGCTGCGATTCCCATCCCACAGCATCACCAGCCAGCAGGACCAATCACTCTTCTTAAAGTCTGGTGGAGCAGGTTCAATGAATGGAGGCAAATGCCTAGGATGGAGGCTTTAGCCACCTTTAAAGTTATCTGAATGGCAGGTTCCCGGCCTGGTCCTGCTCCATGCCAATGACATTTCACATGCGCAGTTTCTGAACGTGTCAATCAGTCTCCTGAAACAGCCCTAGACCCATATCTAAAAATAGCCAGGCTGACAGGATGCAGACACAGAGGAAGGGTGCAAAGTTAAACGGGTGAGCTTGCCCTCCTCCTCCATCCTACATCTGTCCACTACCCTGACAATCTGTGGGCTGAGCTATTTTGGAGCATAGGTTTACTTCCAGAAGTATCTTAAATCCACATGCAGAAAAAAATCAAGTGACAGTTGATTAATATACCAGAGGGGGTGCAGGTTGCCTCAGGGGCACTCCTTGTCACTTCACCCACACCCTTCAGCTGCTCCTATGACCTGTCACTTGGCTAAAAGGAGAAACAGGGAACTCTTGACGATTTCATCATATTTTATATATATCCCAAACTGATCACCACTGCCTGGGAATGGCAGTGCTGGCAGTGGCCACAGCACCAGGAGGTAGCCCATAGCGTAGACAAAACGGTCGTGTAGGCATCATGGTTTAATTTCCCCCTCCATCTCCACCCCCACAAGAATGAACCTAATAGAAAGTAGGCCATGTAAAACCCCTTGTGGCAGGAGACCACAATCCATTCGTTTGAAATAGAAAGAGTAACACACAACTGGCAGAACCCAGGTTTCTTTCCCAGATTAAATTGGCCTGTGCAACCTAGGACTGGTGCTTTGTCCAGAAAGATCTAGTCCTTTTTTTCAAAACAGGTTTAATGCTCTTCAAAACACTGCTAAGCACCTGTTTGTTTGTTTTAAAAAGGCTGAACCTAGAGTTCATCCAAAAGAGCGCTGCACCCATTTATAGAAGAAGCCTATGTAAATGCCCAAGTGGTATTTTGCAAAGGGCAGGTCAGGTATTATGAAGGAAGTTGGCCTTACAGAAGCCAGGTGTCTGGGCTCTTCAGCAGCCCAGACCAAAGTGGCTATGGAGGGCAGTGGCCAGCCACTGGAGGGGAAAGGACATATCTGCAATGATCTCAGTAGGAACTTGGCAAATCCACCCCCTGAACTTGTCATCCCCAATATCATCAATGAGGAGTTGCACATTGTCAGCAGCAGGCAGAAAACACTACTGTAACATAGGAGCAATAAAAAAACAAATTTAGGCCCCCTCTGTAGTTACCTGAGGATGAGATAAAGGCAACTGCATGAGAATACGGCCTTTAAAAATGGTTAGCGAAGCATTTTTGTGTCACAGCAAGAAATAAGATGAGCTCAAAGTTTCATCTGGAAGCTCCTGCAGAGTTGCTCAGAATCTCTTGCTCGGTTGCATTACCAATTCCAAGCATTGTAGGATATACTATACTATATTCCAATATAGGAAGGCCGAGTGAGCTATTTAAAGTAGAGCCAGCAACATTTTCAGTTGCCAGGCACCATTGTGTCGTTTGCTGCAGTGGTGTAGGCCTCCCAAACTTTTGGTGTTCTTGCCTGAAACCACATGGGAATGTTGCAATGTCATGCAGTACGGGCCACCGCATGAGATTTTGGCCATTTTCAAAATCAATAGTTTCAGTGTTTACTATTTGTCTTTAATGGCTGGATCCAGGAGGAACACCTGGTGATGGTCGACCCATCAGTGCTATGTCACTTGCATGGCCATGTTGTTGACCCCTAACTGCAATGAATACTAGACTACAATGCAGATCTTTATCTCTAGATCAGTGTTTCTCAACCTTGGCAACTTGAAGATGTGTGGACTTCAACTCCCAGAAT